AAAAAGAAAGAAGAAGAAAGAAAGAAAAAAGTAATAATAATAAATAATAAGGGCTTCGAGGTTACTCAGTGGATAAGAGCACTGGCGGCTCTTCCAGAGGACCTGGCTTCCAATCCTAGCACCACTTAGAGCTGTAACTCTAGTTCTGGGAGATTCATCATTGCCTTCTGGCCTCTGCAGGCTCTGCATGTACGTAACGTACAGGTATATATGCAGGCAAAACACCCATACACATAAATAGAAAAATTTATAAAGAACGGAGTTGGCTCAGTGGTCGAGAACATTGACTCCTGTTCCAGAGAACCTAGGTTCCATTCCCAGCAGAGGACACCTTCGTGGAGCCTTCTTCCCCAACTTTTGTGTGGATTCGAGGTACTGAACTCAAGTCTTCAGGCTTGGCATGCACAGTAGTGGTTCTAGCTTGCTAGCTAAAGCCATGAGCCCTCTGCAGCCCACTGCAGCAAAGCGTTCTTAAGGCTTGAGCATAGACTAGAGTAACTATGGCCTCACTTCCTACTCATTTTCTGGGACTCTCCCAAAAGTACCTTGAAAGCACTTGAATTTCCCGCGCAGCCCTTGGGAAGGAGGGTTTTACCTAATCAGCTACATCCCTCCCGTCCTTGACTCGGCAGGAACCAACCAGTCTGTGATTGATGTTCTCCACCCAAGAAATTCCTTAGCCACCCTGTGAGCCCTGACTTTAGAAGCCACCAAAACCAGGTAGCTAGGTTTTGTAAAGATAGCCAGCTCTCTTGAAAAGCCCAAACCCACAGTTTTCACACACTTTCAGGTGGGCCTTACCCCTTCCTAGACACTTTGCTTTCTTTTCTCTGTCTCTCTCTTTTTTTTTTCTTTTGGTTTTTCGAGACAGGGTTTCTCTGTAGCTTTGGTGCCTGTCCTGGAACTAGCTCTTGTAGACCAGGCTGGCCTCGAACTCCCAGAGATCCGCCTGCCTCTGCCTCCCGAGTGCTGGGATTAAAGGCATGCGCCATCACCACCCGGCTCTTTTCTCTTTTTTGACTTTTTTTTTAGTTTTGGTTTTTCAAAGCATGATTTCTCTGTGTAGTTCTGGCTGTTCTGGAACTTTCTCTGTAGACCAGGCTGGCCTCAAGCTCAGATATCTGCTTGCCTCTGCCTCCCAAGTATGTGCCAACATTGCTTGTTTCTGGATGTCTTTCTTAAACGTGTGTGTGTGTGTGTGTGTGTGTGTGAAGAAAAATCTCTAAGGGGAAAATGAAATGGCTTAGCAGGTAAGTGTTGGATGCCAGGCCCTTCAGAGAAGAACTGTTTCCTGAAAGCTGACCTCTGACCTACACATGGGAGAGTCCACACACAGAAATGTCAAAAGAAACCTCATCATACTCATCTTGAAATTCTGGGGCTGAGTCAAAAATCCTGGGGCCAGGCTGGCAGGATGACTCAGTGGGTTGAACGCACCTGCTGCCAAGCCCGAGGACCTGAGTTTCTTCCCTGGGACCCACATGGTGGAAGGAAAGAAACCTTTGTTCTTTAACCTCTGTACGTGTGCTATGTGTGCCTGTATACCTCTGACAGATGATAAATGTGGTTTTGTTTTGCTTTTTTCTTCTGAGTCTTGGGACTGAGATTATAGGTCAGTTGGTAGAATGTTTGCCGAAGTGTGTGAAGCCCTGGGTTTGATCAAGGCCTCTCCCTGGGGAGACTGAGGCAGAAAGGTCAGAGGGTCAAAGGTCTTTCCCTGGTGGTTAGTGAGCTGGAGGCCAGTCTGGGCTACGTGAAACCCTGTCTCCAAAAGAGAAAAGGAATTCTTCCTAGATTTACCTGATAAGAAATCTCTAGAAAGAACTGCAGGAGGCAGTATAGAACTGCCCGTGTCTCCGGGTATACTCTAAGGCCACCAGTAGTAAGACAGCCTCTACCTCTCTAATCCCAGCACTCTGAACATTGAGGCCAATCTGGCCAGTATAGCAAGACCCTGTCTAGAAAGGGGGGAGGGCATGGGTGTTGGGCCCTGGATCTACTACTCAGAAGGCAGATCAATATAAATTCAAGGTCTACCTGCCGTAAGTATCCAGTTCCAGGCCAGCCAAGCTTACGTAGTCAAATCTGTTCCCTCCAGAAGTCAGGACTTCAGGTTCCCTGGAGCTGGAGCAATGGACGGTTGTGAACCACTATTCGGGTGCTGGGAATTGAACCCAGGTCCTCTGAGAAAGCAACAAGTGCTCTTAACCGCTGAGCCTTCTTTCCAGCCCCACAGAATAAATGCAAATAAGTTCATCTTGGGTGTGTTAGGAAGTGAAGCAAGGGGCCTGCCTGGGAGAAGGCTCGGCAGCAAAAGGTGCTTCCCAGCAAGATGGCAGCCTGCAATAGCGAAAAGGTGGAAGGGGAGCCAGCTCCACATAGTTGTCCTCTGACCCCCGCACCCATGCACATACATACTGTAAATAAAAAATTTTAAATAAGTCAGCCAGGTGTGATGGCACATGCTTTTTAGTCCCAGCGCTTTCAAGGCAGAAGCAAGTAGATCTTTGTGAGTTCAAGGCCAGCCTGGTCTACCTAGTGAGTTCCAGGACAGAGACTCAGTCTCAAAAAAAAAAAAAAAAAAAAGTCATAAAGGGTTTCCTTTGAAAGAGAAGAAAAATGTTAGCTGCTTGGGGAGAGTTGACTGGGGTTGGTGGGACTTAGGGTGGCAGCCCTGAACCAG